GGCATAACTGTGGTTAAGACGAGTTGGGGTCCTTCAAAGCGATCCCAAAAATGCTATCAAGAAACTTCTACAACTCAGAAACACTTTCAGTAATGTGGCAGGATACAAGATTTACTCAAAAAAAATCAATAGCCCTCCTTTACTCAGATGATAAAAGGGCTGAGAAAGAAATCAGAGAAATATCACCCTTCATAATAGCCACAAATAGTAGTATAAAATATCTTGGAGTAACTCTAACCAAACAAGTGGAAGACTCATATGACAAGAACTTTAAATCTCTGAAGAAGGAAATTGAAGAAGACACCAGAAAGTGGGAAGATCTCCCATGCTCTTGAGTAGGCAGAATTAACTTAGTAAAAATGGCAATCTTACCAAAAGTCATCTACAGATTGAATGCAATGCCCATCAAAATCCCTTCAAAATTCTTCACAAACCTTGAAAGAATTGTACTGATCTTCATATGGAAAAGCAAAAAAAAAAACCCACAAAAAACAAAAAACAAACAAACAAAAAAAACGCAGGTTAGCCAAAACAATCCTGTACAATAAAAGAACTTCTGGAGGCATCACAACCCCTGACTTCAAACTCTATTACAGAGCTACAGTACAGAAAACAGCCTAGTACTGGCATAAGAACAGACAGGGGGATCAATGGAACCGAATAGAAGACCCAGATATCAATCCACACACCTTTGAACACCTGATTTTTGACAAAGAAGCAGAACATATCAAATGAAAAAAGGAAAGCATATTTAACAAATTGTGCTGGCATAACTGGATATCAACATTTAGAAGAAGGAAAATAGACCCACATCTATCACCATGCATAAAACTCAAGTCCAAATGGATCAAAGACCTCAACATAAATCCAGCCACACTGAAACTTACATTAGAGAAAGTGGGAAGTACACTTGAATGCATTTGCACTGGAGACCACTTCCTAAATATAACCCTAACAGCATAGACACTAAGAGAAACAATTTATAAATGGGACCTCTTGAAACTGAAAAGTTTCTGTAAAGCAAAGGACACGGTCAATAAGACAAAAGAATAGCCTACAAAATGGGAGGTCTTCACTAAATCCACATCAGACAGAGGTCTGATCTCCAAAATATACAAAGAATTCAAGAAATTGGTCATCAAATGAACACATAATCCAATAAAAAAGTGGAGTATAAACCTAAACAGAGAACTCTCAACAGAGGAATCTAAAATGGCTGAAAGACACTTAAGGAAATCTTCAACATCCTTAGTCATGAGAAATGCAAATCAAAACAACTCTAAGATTTCAACTTACACTTGTAAGAATGGCCAAGAACAAAAGCACTGAATACAGCTTATGCTGGAGAAGTTGTGGGGAAAAGGGAACATTCTTCTTCATTGCTGGTGGGAATGCAAACTGGTACAGCCCCTTTGCATGTCAGTGTGGTAATTTCTCAGAAAATTAGAAAACATCCTTCCTTAAGACCCAGTAATACCACTTTTGGATATATATACAAAGGATGCTCAACCATGCCACAAGGACATGCGTTCAACTATGTTCATAGCAGCGTTGTTTGTCATAGCCTGAACCTGAAAACAGCCTAAATGCCCCTCAACCAAAAAATGGAGAAGGAAAATGTGGTACATTTACACAATGGAGTACTACACAGCAGAACAAAATAACAACATCTTGAATTTTGTGAGAAAATGGATGGAGCTAGAAAACGTTATTTTGAGTGAGGTAACCCAGACACAGAAAGACAATTATCACATGTACTCACTCATAGGTGGTTTTTAAACATAAAGCAAAGAAAGCCAGCCTACAAACCATAATCCCAGAGAACCTGGACAACAATGCAGACACTAAGAGATACATAGATCTAATCTTCATGAGAAGTAGAAAAAGATAAGATCTCCTGAGTAAATTGGGAGCATGGGGACCTTGGGGGAGGGTAGAATGGGGAAGGGGAGAGGCAAGGAAGGGAGCAGAGAAAAATGTAGAGATCAATTAAAAATCAATAAATAAGAAAGAAAAAATATCAGTACATCTAATTGTTTCTCTTGGGGGCTTTGAGATGACACCAGCTGTGGTCTTAAGGAGGAAGTGTGGATCAGGGCCTGTGTGCATTGGTGGACAGTACCTAGTCGCTGTAGAGGAAGACTCAGGGTCGGAAGTTGAAGATCAGGAGGATGTGAAACTCTTACGTATGTCTGAAAAAAAGATCTGCTCCTGGAGGTAGTACAAGGGTCCACAGAAAAAGGTAAAACTTGATGAAGATGATGATGGCAACAGAGATAATGTGGATGATGAGGTTGGTGACGATGATGATTTTGATGATGAGGAAGCTGAAGAAAAAAGTTCCAGTGAGATACCCCGTCCAAAAATGCACAAAAATCAAACCAAAATGAAAAAGACTTAAAACCATCAACACCAAAATCAAAGTGTTCTTCAGAAAACAGGAAAAAACTCCTAAAACACCAAAAGGACCTAGTTCTTTAGTGAAGGCAAAAATGCAAGCAAGAAAAAAAAAGGTGGCTCTCTTCCCAAAGTGGAAGCCAACTAAGTTCATTAATTATGTGAAGATTTGCTTCCGGATAACTGACCAGGAGGCTATTCAAGATCTCTGGAAGTGGAGGAAATCTCTTTAAGAAAGTGGTTTAAACGATTTGAAATATGCTGTCTTATTTAATTTCTGTAACAGTTGATTAAAAAAAAGATTTCCTGTGCAAAGATTTTTAACAATAAATCCCCAGTAATACTAATTTCATATTAACTTTTTCCCACAGGTTTTACAGGTTTTTAACCATACTCAATAAACTTATAAATCCTGAGGTACAGAATGCTCACAGACACCAAGTTCAATCTTTTGGCTATTCTGGCTTTGCTTTCTTTTTCTATCAAGGTGTCAGGTGATTCAACTAACAGGGCACAGAGGAAACTGGTATACCTAGTAACTCTAGCACCAACTTTCCAATATAATTCAACAGTATAAAACAACTTTTATATTATCCAAACCAAAAAGACATCTGAACTCCTGCTAACCTGGATCCAGTGACCAGCTCCAACCAATAAAAACAGCCATGGAGCTTGGTGACTGGCAGTAGCAGAGACAGTAAATATGTTAGACCCATTTCTGTAACAGCTCAAAGGTTGCAACAAAACTTACAGACACACCAGGCAGACAAAATTTTCCAACAAAATAGAACCAGACAGGCAGGTGATATCTCGCTAAATAAAAGAATATTGGGGTCCTGTCAAACTCCCTCCACATTCCAAATAGAGATCACACAAAAACAGAACCAGATTATTTCTCACTAGGAAGCCTCTGTAGATGCTTAGTGCATTTCTCAGCATGGCATTTCACTCCAATAACACAAGAACTGAAGGCCTCAAAGGCTTGGACTTCATAGCTAACCAATCACATCATTGTCTTATGCCTCTGCTTCCCCACCAGTGAAACTGTAGATATAAACACCCACTATCGATTCGGTTCCATTGGTCCTCCTGTCTGTTTTTATGCCAATACCAGGCTGTTTTCAGTACTGTAGCTCTGTAGTAGAGTTTGAAGTCAGGGATTGTGATGACTACAGAAGTTCTTTTATTGTACAAGATTGTTTTGGCTATCCTGGTCTTTTTACTTTTCCATGTGAAGTTGAGTATTCTGTGAATAATTTTCCTGGAATTTTGATGGGTATCACATTGAATCTGTAGATTGCTTTTTGTACGATTGCCATTTACTTTGTTAATTCTACCTACCCAAGAACATGGGAGATCTTTCCATTTTCTGGTGTCTTCTTCAATTTATTTCTTCAAAGATTTAAAGTTCTTGTCATATAGGTCTTCCACTTCTGTGGTAGAGTTACTCCAAGATATTTTATGTTATTTGTGGCTGTTGTGAAAGGTGATTTTTTTTTCTTTGATTTCTTTCTCAGCCTATTTGTCTTCTGTGTAAAAGAGGCATACTGATTTTTTCAA